CTCTGCCCGCTGCTCTGCCCCCCTCTGCCCGTCACTGTGCCCCCCTCTGCCCACCGCTCTGCCCTCCTCTGCCCATCACTCTGCCCTCCTCTGCCCGTCACTCTGCCCTCCTCTGCCCACTGCTCTGCCCTCCTCTGCCCTCTTTCACTTAGACGGTACCGGACCAACTGAGGTTTCCCAGAGGCGGTGCGTGTGCGGCCGGTCCCGCCCTGCACCCTGGCAGCTCCCAGGCACCCCCTCACTGCTCCCTGCTCACGCACCGCCCTGTCCACGCAGCACCCTCTCTGAGCCCCAATGCAGGTAGAACTCCCCCATCTGCGTGGTCCTTTCTGTGTTCATCATTTCATCTCCAGTCTGTCTCCCCAGAAGACCAGAAGCTCTTCCAGTTCCAGGACCACAGACTTTCGTCTTTACATCTCCCTAGAGCAGGGCCAGCCCCGTAGTAGGTGTCAATAAATGAGCACTCACTGGCGGAACAAATGCGTGGGTGGACAGTCGCAGGCCGAGGGCGCCCGTGCCAGCCCTCCTCCCGCACTGGGCACCGTGCTCGCCGCGTCCCTCAGAGCTGTAGGGTGCCCGACTGCTCACTCAGCCCTCAGCAGCGGGTAGGAAGAGACCTCAGCCATGTCCGTAGCTGCATAGCATGCTGGGAGCAGGCGGGGTGGGGGATACCAACCATGGTGGCCAGCTGGGGACATGAGGATGAAGCTGGTGTCTCCCTCGCCCCACCTGCCCCAGCCAGCTTCCCTTTGGATTGGGCATGCAGACTTCACGTTTTTCTTTCTTTCTTTTTTTTTCTTTTTACGGAGAGGTTTTTGCTATAGGGTGTGTGCACTCTCCAGAAAGAGAGAGACAGAGAGACAGAAAGCGAGAAATCACGCCCAGGGGAGATGGCCATGCCACAATCCCTTCTCCTCCATTCTCCTCTCGGGATCTTGGGCACGCACGCACACGCACCTGGTGTGAGTTTAAGCTACCGAATGTGAGACTCAAACCGCGGTCGACTTCATGGGAGTCCAGCGACATAGCCACTACGCCAACTGCTGGTCCCAAGTTGACGTTTTTCTAAAGTAACATTTTGTTGCATGCTAATTTACACGTCAGGCAATGCACCGATGTGAGGTGCACACCTCGATGGTTATCCGAGTATCCGCAGACGTGTGCAACCAGCACCCCAGCCCATCTCAGAACGTCTTCATCACCTCTGAAAGACACCCCATGTCCTTTTGCTATCCCCCCACTACCCCCACCCACGCCAGGCAGCCACGAAGCTTCTTCCCGTCCCTGTGGGTATGCCCAATCGGCACGTCTGTGTAAACGCAGTCACGTGACGTGGTCCTTTGTGTCTGGCGTCTCTCACTGAGCCTCACTTTTTTTTTTTCTGTTTTTTTCTGTTTTTTGTTTGTTTTTTGGTTTTTGTTTTTTGGTTTTTTTTGAGAGGTTTTTGCTATAGGGCGCATGCGCTCGCCAGACAGACAGAGAGAGACAGAGAGACAGAAAGCAAGAAATCACCCCCCAGGGAGGATGGCCACGCCGCAATCCCTTCTCCTCCGTTCTCCTCTCGGGATCTTGGGCACGCACGCACACGCACCCGGCGTGAGTTTTAAACCACTGGGTCCAGGACGTGAACTGCGGTCAACTACATGGGAGTCCAGCGACATAGCCATTACGCTAACTGCTGGTCCCTGGCACAGCTGTCTTAAGACCCGTCTCAGTGCTAGAGGTCTGCGAACACCAGCACACCCCACCCAGAGGCTCTGGGCTCTCCAGTGTTTCTGGTGAGTGAAGAGCAAGGCTCTTTGGGCCAGGCAGAGCTGTCCCACCATGTCTCCCCTCAAGCTGTAGACAAGGAGGCCACCCTAGTGCCCTCTGCCCTTGGACCATGCCCAGAACCCCGACTTGAACCCAGGAGGAGGGCGGAGACCCAGTGCAGAGACAGGGAGGCAGGTGGGCCTTGCTGTGGCCTATGCACAGAGGGCCCACTGTGTGGGTGACCAGCAGCCCCCAGACTGAGCCTACTCAGCTTGGCAGCAGGAGGAGTTTGGGCCCCACAGACACAGTTCCTTGGCCATCAGGGGAACATCCTGTGCAGGTGGAGGTGCTTCCCCCGGCCCAGCAGCGTCAGGCAGCACAGGCACGGCTCCACGCCAGGGCACGGCCAGGCCGGAACAGTAGCAGGACCCAGGCCCAGGCCCACAGTCCTAAAGACAAATGTGAGCTAAAGCAGGGACAAAGGAGACAGGCCCCGAGGCCAGGTGTCAGACTCGGAGATTGGCCCAAGAAGAAAGGACAAGCTGAGGTCAAGGCAATGACCGAGGCCGGAGCGCGGGTGCGGCCAGGGAGGGGCTGGAGGAGGTGTGGCCGGCAAGGAGCTGAGGGTGGCAGTGGCTCCAGGAGGAGATGGCCGAGCCCAGTAGCAGCAGCTGGGCCGGGCGGGAGGGAGAAAGTGGTCGGAGATGGCACAGTCTCCACCTTGCTGTGTGCCAAGCACGCCATGGGTGTCACACAGTGAAGGGAACTTTGATCTCGGGAAGGCAGAGGGTCTCGGGGAAGTCTGGGGAGAACGCAGCAGGGAGAGCCGTCCCTCCAGACTGCCTCCGGGCCGAGAGCCACTGTCTGGTGGCCTGGACCCCACTGGGGCAGTTGGTAGCTCCACCAGCCACAGCTTCAAGGCGGAAGCTCAGGCGAAACCTCCAGCAGACTGAGCCTGCACCCCAGCCACCCGGAGGGCATGCTTCTCCACCGCCGCCGAAACCTAGTGGCCAGTATACTTCAAGATCACGCAGCACTGCGGTTTTCACGAGTCCCGCTGCTTCCCCGAAGTCTACTGCTGGGCTTTCAGGGGCACAGACCACCCCAGCTGGCTGCTCTGTGTGACCCTGGCTGTTACTCGCCTTCTCCGGGCCTTGGTGTGCCCAGCTGACAAAAGCAGCCATCGGTCTTCTGCAGCATGGGGAAGATGGCAAGCGCCCGCAGAGCGGCTGGTGGCCGGTGTGCTCACCACGCTTAGACACCTCTAGAGCCCTTCCCGGGCTAAGGAAAGCCAGTCACCGGGTGGCAGGAAAGCAAGCTCAGCCTTTGCAGTCTTCCCTCCAACCCAGGCTTTGAGCCCTAAATGCTTCCAGGAGCCTCATAATCCTCATGCCCCTGAGCCTCTTGCCAAGGCGGGGAGGCCCGGGCAGAGTTCTGACTCTGAGGCGCTCTATTTTTAACTGGACGCGGCTTCCTGCACCACAGGCCATCGGCCTGGAAGCCGAGGTGGAGTGCCCTGTCAGCAGCAGTAAATAGCAGCGGGCAGAGAGACTGGCCGCCAGGAGGCCGGGGGCTGGACAGGTGGATGCCAACCGGCCGGAGTCTGTGCTAAGAGCACCACGACTCATCGCGGCTGTCCCTCGGGCCCTCCGTCGTTCCAGGAGGACTGGCATCCTCTCTGGCCTCTCCTAATGTGGCAAGTGTGAAGGTCAGGGAGGTGAGGGGCCTGTGCCCTGCCCAGCGGGGCCCCACAGCCAGGCCTGCCCGGCTCCCCCCAGCGTTAGGAGAAGTGAGTGAACCCTCTTACCTCCTCATGCAAAATCAGCCCCTGGTGCCTAGGCTGATCAGGACCGACTTGCCCTCCAGAGCAGCCATCCCCAGCAGCGTCCTCAATCTCTGAGCAGCTTTGCTTCGTTGCTGGAAGCTGGGGTGGTCCTGCCCCTGTGCCAGCTCCCAGGGACAGTGTCATAGAATGACAAGGTTGACCTGGAAGGGAGTACCCAAATGGAAAGTGTGGAGGCACTTTTAGCAGAAAAGGGCCGGCAGAGTGTGTGTGAGTGTGGGTGAGTGTGTGGGTGAGTGTGTGGGTGAGTGTGTGAGTGTGTGTTCGTGAGTGTGGGTGTGCACAGCACAGGGGTGCGGGCTCACAGCCACTCTCCATAGGCCATGAGCCCTGGGAAGGCAGAGACAGACTGTCTCGAACAAGCTGCTGCCTGCACCCTCCCAGGGCCAGGCCAGACGTGAGGGGTGTGGTAGGGGTCACAGTCTAGAAGAGATGGCTCCTCGTGGTGACACAGACACAAGGCCCTGGGCAGGAGGCATCCCTGAAAGTGTCCTGGGGGGCATCGTGACCTCTTCAGGGAGCCCGGGCACCTTGAGGGGGGGATGGCCACAGTACCTAGGGACCCGGCCCAGGGCAGGACCCCTGCCAGTAATAGCCGCCCTTCTGGGGCCACTCAGTGCCAGGCCCAGCCCGGTTCTGTGGCGTGCAGTGGACCACTTACCACAAAGCAGCTGATGAGGGAGTGCCGCTCCTGACCCTGCCAGGGCTCAGAGAGGTCCAGCTGCCGAGGGCGCCGGGCTGGCAGAGCCAGGGTGCCGAGTTCAGGCCACCCGGCTCTCCTCCGCTGTGACAGCAGCCTCAAGTCATCTATTTACTAACTCAGCAGATGTTTCCTGAACATCTTTCTTTTTTAGAGAGAGACTTTTGCAATTGGGCATGTGTGCTCAACAGAGAGACAGAGAGACAGAAAGCGAGAAATCACCCCTGGGGGGATGGCCACACCGCTATCCCTCCTCCTCCATTCTCCTCTCGGGATCTTGGGCACGCACTCGCCTGACGTGAGTTTTAAGCCATCAAGTCCAGGATGTGAACCGCAGTAGGCTACGTGGGAGTCCAGCGATGTGCCCATCCCGCCATCCGTGGGTCCTCTCGAACGTTTCTTCACCCAAGGCACTGGTTCAGTAAGGGGGACAAGACACACATGCATGTTGATAGCTCGACGACACGGGCCAGGTGATGGCACAGTGACGATGCAGCCCGCGTGGGAAGGTGCCAGCTTCCTGTCCTGGGGCCGTCCTGTACACACCAGCATGGCGGTCGAGGCCAGTTGAGACGCGCATGGAGTGCAGCCTGAGGATTCGGTTAGAAGTGTGCTCGCTCGCTCTCAGTGAATAAATAAATAAACTGGGACTAGGAGGTGGAGTAATGGTTACGTCACTGGACTCCCACATAGTGGACTGTAGTTCGAGTCCCAGACCTGTCAGCATAAAACTCACACCAGGGACATGTGTGTGCATGCCCAAAATCCCGAGAGGAAAGTGGGGGAGAAGGGATTGCAGCGTGGCCATCTCCCCCCGGAAGGGGTGGTGATTGCTCGCTTTCTGTCTCTATCTCTCTCTGTCTCTCCAGTGAGTGCACATGCCCTATAGCAAAAACCTCTCTAATAAGGAAACTAAAAATTAGACGTTAGAACAAGCCTGTGGTGTGGTGGTTAAGAAAGCTGGAACTGGGGCCAGCAGGTGGCGTGTTGGTTAAGGGCTCTGGGCTCCCACATGGCCGACCGTGGTTTGAATCCCAGATCTGGTGACTTGCTTTCTCACTTTTTGTCGTCCTCTCTCGCTCTTGCACTGTCCCTCTCTGGTCAAATTAAAATAAATACATAAATAAGGTGTTTTTTTTTTAAAAAAAACACTTTAAAAAAAGGGGGGGGGGAGAGCTGGAACCCACATGGCCCACTGAGTGGTTCAAGTCCAGAACCCAGCGACTTGAAAAACATGCCGGGTGTGTGCGTGCATGTCCAGAATCCCAAGAGGAAGAGAAATGGAGGGAAAAAAGATTTTCGTGTGGCCGACCCCCATGGGGGTGCTTTCTCTCTGTCCCTATCTGGTAAGCATGCACGGACTCTGGTAAAAATTAAAGAGAAAAGTTCGGCGAGGGCTCCCGCTCACCTTGTCACACACTGCCAGGCTCTCTCCACGCGCACTAGGGGAGATCCCGGTTTGCAAAGGAGCTGAGCGAGGGGAGGAGACTCCTGTCACCGAGGAGCCCTTTTCCGGAGGGGGTCTTTGCAAAGTTTGAAACCTGGGCCTCGCTGTCCTGAGGCCCTAGAATCTACCCTCCAAGACCTCAGGGTCTTGCTGCTACAAAGGCCACGGGCACTCTCCCACTCTCCGGGATGGGGGATTCCTTTGCCTCCAGTCCCCAGAGCCACACCCAGGCGTTGTGTAATAGGTACCCATGGAATCATGGTTGAAGCCGTGATTCTCTGAGAACCCCCCAGGGTCAAGGCATCCCTGCTCGTGGCCACAGAACAGGTGCCCCGCCTGCCCCCCCCTCCCGCCTCACACACACACACACACACACACACACACACACACACACACATACACACACGGCACTTAGGGAGCCAAGGCACATCTGCTGACAGCTTTGCTTCCTCTGTTTGCCAGGAGAGACCAGCGCACGCCAATGCCAATGTGGACAGCTCCGCGCCCCCCTCGGTGGCCCAGCTGGCCGGGCGGTTTAGGGAGCAGGCAGCTGCAGCGAAGGAGGTGAGTCAGGGATTCAGAGCACCCCCTTACAGGGTGATCGATGGAAGATGGAAGAAGGATCGTCAAGGATCGTCAAGCCTTGAGGCGGGGGAGGGAGGGAGAGAGGGAGAGGCTGGGTAACTACCAAATCAGGAAGAGAAGCCAGTGAGGGGTCCCTCTGAGTGTGAGGGATGTGCCCCCCCGCCAGCCACTGGCTTGGGGACAGCAAGGCGGAGCCCCACTGGATCTGGAAGAGAAAAGACTCAGAGGGGAGCTACTGGGACAAAGAGCCAGGGCCAGTGGCCCACGGTTTCAGGAGAGCCCCGGCCACCAGGAAGGCGGGGGAAGGGCTCGGAGACAGCAGAGACCAGGCTAGATTTTCCCCAGCGTTACTGCGAGGAGCTCGTTAGGGTGATGTGCGGCAGGAGGCTCCTCACGGCCGCTCGGGAGAACTTAGATGCCACGGCTTTTACATTTTTTTTAAGGTTTCTGCCATAGGGCACATGTGCATGCCAGAGAGAGAGAGAGGGAAGGTGAGAAATCATCCCTGGGGGAATGGCCACACCACAATCCCTTCTCCTCAGTTCACCTCCCGCGATCTAGGACACTTACGCACACGTGCCCAGCATGAGTTTCAAGCCTCCGAGTCCAGGACTCGAACTGCGGTCAGCCTTGTGGGAGTCCAATGCCCCAACCACGACAACACCTGCTGGCCCGCCCCCTGCTTTTGTGAGTGCACTGTGCTCCACTGTTGCCCTTTTGTCTGGAAAATCGGGCCATAATTTCCAGGCAGCCCAGCGACGTGATGAGAGTGGACGATAGTGTAGCCCTGATCCCAGCGGCCCCTCCTGAGGGCTGTTGTGACGCCATTTCCAAATGCTGGTTCAGGCCCATGAATCTCACTCAAAGGAGAAAGTTCTAGCAGGAAAGGCACAGGCGAGGAGAGGCCGGTAGTGGGTGTGGACAGACCACGAGTGTAACCTGCTAACCACATGCCTCTCCTCCACCACCATGCTGCACTCCAGCCACCTGAGCCCCGAAGCCGGCTCCCGCTTCCCTTCTCCTCCCTGTGCATGACTCTCTTCTCTCTGTGTCTGTCTGTCACCTCGCTCCAGACACCAGCCAGTAAGCCAGCCAGAAGGAAACCGCCCTGCTCCCTGCCCCTGCCCCTGCTCGCCCCCAGGGCAGATCTGGGCCCCAGTGGCGAGGAGGTAAGTGCTGCCCGTGGGGCTCAGAGGACGCGGCACGGGGGCTTCTCTCTCCCGCATGGCATGCTTCTAGCCCTCGAAATCTGCTCAGGGAATTTCTCCATGTCTGACTGGAGAGTGCGTCTCCTCTTCTCAGTGCTTGCTGTGGAGACTCCTCCTCCTCCATTCCCGAGCCTCCTGTGTACAGGAGCTGGTCTCCCGGCCGTGACACTCTGCAGAGGGGTCTGCGCACCATCGCCACAGCAGACGCAGGGCAGCAGCGTAGCCGAGGTCCCAGACCGCCCGCAGGTGTGAGGACGGGGAGGAGGGCTGTGCTCGCACAAGGCAGACCGTGTCATGTCAGACCAGGGCCCCGCGCTGCCTGGTCAGGGCTGGCCATTGTTCGGGCTCACTGGAAGAGACAGGCACACGGGGTCTTGGCCTGTGACGTGAATAGCCAGTGTCGCCGACATAGAGAGGGGCCTCGTGTCACCGCTCCCAGCCAGCAATGCGTCTGGCCTGCATGGCCACCTGCCCTTGTTTATCTGGCTGTCCCTTAACAGTGACTTCTGCATGCCCTACCCCAGCCCCAGAGACCCTTCCCTGTGGCCGTGATCCCTTCCAGAAATGAATTCACACCCTGGCACCCAGCCCAGGAGGCCAACCCCAAAATAGAGCCAGGAAGCCAAAGAGTGCATTCCTAAATTCCAGTTCAACTGCTTCTCTTCCCTCCCCTTCCTCTGGGGACCCGCATGAAGACCCGGCTTCCCGGGTGAGCCCGGGCAAGCCCCTTGGCGCCTGTATTTTCGCATGTGCAAAGGGCAATGGTCAGAGTGGACCAGTGGCTTCGAAACCTTTGCACCAACCCGTGGTGTAGAAGCAGAAGTCTATAGACAAGAGAGACTCAGGCTGCTCTCAGGCAGGTAGGGGAGTCTGAGCACCCTCTGCCCTGCTCCCACCAAACAAGGGGCTTACCCTGGGACAAGAACCCCAAGGAGCACAGACCTAGAACTCCGAGTTTCCTGTCGGCCTCCACGTGCCAACATTGTCTCCGTGGCTTTGTGGGGTCATCAGCCCAAATGTACCGACAACCTGCCTGTACCTAGGGTCAGCTTCTCCTGTGACCTTCCCCTCTGGGCTTGGGGTTCCCACAGTGTGGAACGAGCTGAGGCTGTGGCCATTCCGAGCTCAGTGTGAGGCTGTCCCCTGATGACCCGGCTATGCCCAGGAGAAGCCACTGCATCATAGGTCTGTCCCCTTAGCTGTAGCCGAAGGCAAGAACAATTAGTGGACAGAGCACGGGGGCTGAGCTGGGACTTTATTCTCTGCAGTACAAACCGAGTGAGGCAAGTCCGTGATCGGACGAAAGAGCACCATAGAAATAACCTCACAGATTTCATCCCTCGGGGCGCACCCCGGACACCAGGCGGCACATACAGCTGAGGGCTGCATGAGCAGGAGGGTGCATTATTTATCTATGTATTTATTCTTGAGAGAGATGTTTGCCATAAGGCGTGTGTGCTTCCAGAGAGACAGAAAGTGAGAAATCACCCCCCAGGGGATGGCCATGCCGCAATCCCTTCTCCTCCATCTCCTCTTGGGATTTGGGGCACGCATGCGCACACACGCCCGGCGTGAGTTTCAAGCTGTCAGGTCCAGGACTTGAACTGAAGTTGACCATGTGGAGTCGAGCACCTTGACCAGTGTGCCACCTGCTGGCCCCCGAGAGGGTGCATGTGGACTTCTAGTGCCCCCTAGACCAAGTGCAGGCTGTTTGCACATAGGCAGGACATTCTCTCCAGCGATCACCCGCTTGTCGTCTGAAATGTACACAGAAATGAAGCCAACAGCCGCCACACCTGCTGGGCTGAATAGAGTCACACCCGCACCTCCCCTGGGCTCCCCGGAAATAGACACAGAAACCCTACACCCCAGAGCTCGTGGCCTGAAGAAGGCCTCAGTCAGGCCACCCAGTGCACAGAGCTAGGGAGGGTTGCTTCACCCCACCCCTCTCTAGGCCTGCAGGGCTGGGGTGGCAGGGCAGCCCCTTGGAGAGCACTACTGATCACCGGGCCCTCCTGCAGGCGGTGACCTGGGCTTACCCCTCTGAAGGAACTAGCCAAGGGGGTGTTTAACGTAGCCACAGTTGCTGCTTTGTCTCTCCAGGCTGGAAAACAGTCCCACCTGGAAAGCCAGGCCCATAACTCCTAGGAGCGCCGGCTAATGCATGTATACAAACCCTCAGACCATAGGGACGGAGGCTTTCTCTAGCGCTGCGAGCACCTGCCGCGAGCCTCTTGTGGAACCATGGGGAGATGCTGCCACCTGCTGCCACTCCCAGGGACTGCATGGGCCGCTACTTGGGATCCTTCTGTGCTGTTCAAATCAGTAGCATTTTGGGTGCCTCAGCCGGGTCCTCTTACTGTCCTGTGGTTGAGGGGACGTGCCCATTGATGTCACCATCTTCAGAAGAGTATAGCAGGACATAAAGTCGGCTTCATCAATAAAACCATTGCTGCAGTTTCTAAATCAGCATCTTCAAAAACGCTGGCCCATGTGAAATTTCACCGTGAGACACAGAAAATGAAGACGCCCAGCTGGGACTGGGGCCCTTTGTGCTCCTCACAGAGGGGGCTGCTGGGAGCTGGTTCTGGGACAGGGCTGCCAGTGGCCTGGGCCTGGAGGGGCCTTCAAGCCGTGTTTCCCACCCCCCTGTATCTTGGCAGAGGAGGCTGGGCCAGGCCCTCCAGCCGGCTCCTGTAAAGCTGGAATTGCAGAAAGGGGAGTCTCCCGAGCCCCAGCCAAGGCCCACCGCACCCCCGCATGCCCCTCCTTGGTCACAGGGGCCCCCAGAGCTGCCTTTCTCCTCCCTGCACTAAAACACTGTCACCGCATTCTCCAAGTGGCTCGGACGTCTCAGGGACCAGGTTACCTTCCTGTGCTTCAGGAACATGGGGGCACGGGGCAGGTGGCACTTACTGGGAAATCCCACCCCGGCCTTGTCCGACATGTCGTCAGCTTTTTCTTCGTTGTCACCATGATGTCACTGTCACTGTCACACGTGGTGCAGGGAGTCAGTCTTTTTAGATAACGCAGAACCCAGAAGCACATGAGGTCTTGACAGACGTTTATGACAAACACCTGTGACGTATGGGCCAGGGACTGGAGGCCCCCAACCAAGTCGCGTTCATCCATCCACCTGCAGTGAGCCGGCACGGTGCCAGGACGGCAGGGGGCACTTAGAAAGGCCTGCTTAATGAGAACAGGCAACCGGTCTTTCAGAAGACGGCCGTTGTGAACAATGCCACTGGTGGTATTTTCCAGAACAGTGTGAGTTCAAGGGAGGAATTTCGCTCCTGTCTCGGCTTTCCTGCTGCCATGCGGCCTCCTGTTCAGTGTGTGATGGAGGCCAGCTTGCCCGCTGTCTTTGACCCCCTCCAGCTGTCGCTATTGTTGGGGCCGTGGGGTGCAGTGAGGCTTCCCTCACGGTGACGATGAGACAGTGTCTCCCCTGACTCCCTGGCACAGATTCCAGGGGTGTTGTTGCTGGGAACATGCGGGAGGGAGGAGGGGAGGCTCCTGATACAGCCCCAGGTGGGGTCATGGGCCTGTGGTCCTCGGAGGTCAGACACACTCTCCTCCCTCCCACGGCTTCGGGGCTGCAGCCAGAACCCACCTCTCTCGGCCTCACACGGTTTTGTCTGCTTGCTCTACAGAAGTCGCCGCCCAACGCCAGCCACCCTCCGAAAGTCAAGGTGAAGAGCTCACCGCTGATCGAGAAACTCCAGGCGAGTGGCAAGTGCAGACCCGGGCCCACTGCTGCTTCTGTCCACAGTGTGCTTGCCTCTAGGGCTCCCGGGGTGGCCCGTGTGTCACCTGGATGGTTGGCTCCTACTCACCTGCTAGGGAGTGAATAAATCCCCACAAAGGAGGAGGCTCTTACCATAGAGAGCGTGTGTGTGTGTGTGTGTGTGTGTGTGTGTGTGTGTGTCCGAATCCTGAGAGGGGGCTGGAGGAGAAAGGATTGCAACAGGGCTATCCCCCCCAGGGGGTGATTTCTTACTTAGCTCCTCCCCACCTTCTCTTTGGTGAGCACACATGCCCTATAGCAAAACTAATACAAATCATAAAACACCACAGGGTGAGGATCCCAGGCAGTACTTAACTGCTGCTCCCCAGGCCCCGCCCCAAGGAGTCTCTCACTGGGAGTCCTTTACTGCACCCAGCCACAGGGAGGGCAGACTGCACCCTAGGGAGCTCTAGGCTCCCAAGGCAGAAAGCGCTGAGGAAAGCCCCCTCCAACAGCCAGCTGAGGGGTGCAGCCCAAGACCCACCCCCACCTTGGCATTTCGAGAGCAGTGAGACGGTCTTTAACGCCCAGGTAAAGCCCCTCTGCCCTGAGGCTCCCAGATCCACCCCAGCACCTCAACTCCCTCCATGTCCGGGTGGCATGGGCTCGCTCTGATGCCATCTAACTTTTGCATTGAATCTGCTCCTTCTCACTGAGACTCAGCCTGTGTTACCCGTCATTAAGATCCCGATGCGGGTGCCAACCCCCAGCCGCCCAGGCTGCTTTACCGTCTGCAGGTCCTGCAGCACACGGCTGGGCCAGAAGAGCGGGGACAGAGGGGTGTCAGTCTGTTCAGAGTAGAGTAGCGGCGGGAGCGAGGACACAGGGGCCCGACTTTGGAGCTTGGGTAAGAAACTTAGGGAAAAAAGAATCCAGTACTCGAACAGGCTGTTGCCTTGCTAAAGGTCACAGAACTGTTTGGTTTTTTTGGGGGGTTTTTTGGGTTTTGTTTTGTTTTGTTTTGTTTTAAAGAATTATTTCATTGGGAACCAGCAGTTAGCGTAATGGTTATGTCGCTGGACTCCCACATAGTCGACCGCGGTTCGCGTCCTGGACCCGGTGGCTTAAAACTCACACCGGGCGTGTGTGCGTGCGTGCCCAAGATCCCGAGAGGAGAATGGAGGAGAAGGGATTGCGGTGTGACCATCCCCCCTGGGGGGTGATTTCTCGCTTTCTGTCTCTATGTCTCTCTCTGTCTGTCTGGCGAGCGCACACGCCCTATAGTGAAAAACCTCTCAAAAAAAAAGAGAATTATTTCATTGTATTTATTCATTCATTTATTTTAATTTGACCAGAGAGAAACACAGAAGGTGAGAAAGCAAGCCATTAGCTCCAGGACTCGAACCGTGGTCAACCACATGAGAGTGTCCAGTGCCTTAACCACCACGCCACCCAGGTCACAGAACTATGGAGTGAAAAACCTAGTATTTGGCGTCGGGTTCCTTGGTCTGGAGAACCCGCATGCCTCCCACAGCACCTCCCGTCCCTCGAGCCTCTCTACCCCCACGAGGGCGTCGGGAATGCAGAGGGCAGGAGGGGCCTGGATGCTGCGGAGGGCCTGGGACAGGACGCTTTCCTTGGCAATGGGTGGATCTGGTGCCACCGCCTCCCCTCCCCAAGCTCACGCTCCTTCGAGCTCTGGTCCCCTCTGGGTAACCGTCCCCCATCTCCCTCAGGGTGCATTCCATCTGGTCTCGCCTGCACTGTGACCCCCAGGTAGCACACACTGGGACTGGTCCTGTGGCTCCTGGAAGGGCCGTCTGTGGCCACCGCTCTGCTGGTCCACGGGAAGGAGCCACGCACAGGGAGGCTTGAGGGCCCCAGGCCCGGCGCCAGCCACCTTCCTGACGGGCAGTGAGAACAAAGCGTGGAGGTTGCGGCAGGGAAGGAGCCGCGTGCCGGCAGGCCGGGCTGCAGGAGGCAAGGGCGTCTGCCCTCTGTGCTTCAGCTGCTCTGAGCTCTCTGGGGTCAGCCCCCGATAGACCAGGGAGCCGGAGGGGACTGTGGATGACCATGGGGCAGGGTCATCAACAGCCTCCTGGTGCCTGGTCTCTACCACTGTGACACCAGGCCACTACCAAGCTGGAGCAGACCCTCACGTCTCCTCGCCCAATTTGAAATTCCTCCCCTCTTCTCCACAGGCCAACCTATCCTTCGATCCAGCGGCCCTGCTGCCCGGGGCCTCCCCCAAGAGCCCCGGGTTCAAGGCCATGGTGTCCCCGTTTCACAGTCCGCCTTCCACCCCCAGCAGCCCTGGCGTGCAGCCTCGGTCCGGCGAGGGGGAGGAGGTTCCCGTCAGCTTCGACCAGCCCCCCGAGGGCGGCCATCTGCCCTGCTGCACTAAGGTAGGTGGTAGCCCAGGGTACTGCCGTAGGGGCGCGGCCATCTAGAATCTTCCCTACCCATGTCCTGGAGAGAGGAGGGAGCGCCTGCAGAGGGAGAGAGAGAGAGAGAGGATTTTTAGAGATTTTTGCTATAGGGTGTATGCACTTGCTGGAGACACAGAGAGCCAGAGAGAGGGCAAGGGAGAAATCGCCCCCCAGGGGGCATGGCCACCCTGCAATCACTTCTCCATTCTCCTCTTGGGATTTTGGCCATGCACACATGCGCACCCAGCATGAGTTTCAAGCCACCGGACCTGGGACTCGAACCGTAGCTGACCATGTGTGAGTCCAGCACCACAACCACTATGCCTCCTGATGCCTTCTCCCCCTTTTTTTAATTGCCAGAGGGGCATGCATGAGAGAGAACTCTCTAATGGAGCATGGTCATGCCACAATCCTTCTCCCTCCATTCCTTCATCCCATTAGGATTTGGGGCACACACACACCCGTGCCTGGCATGATTTTCAAGCCTCCAGGGTCAGGATTCGAACTGCAGCTGGCCATGCAGGATCTGGCTCCATAACCATTCAGTCACCGGGCTGGCCTGGAGCTGCTTTTTATCAGAAGGGAAGCATCTCCTCTTCTTCATCTCCCAGGCTGCTTCTCCATCTCCTGTCCCTGCAGCTGAGCCAGTCACCTGGAAGGCAGGCCCTGGGGGATACGCACCATCTGTGCAGATAGGTGTGGTCGCAGCCACACAGATAGTTAATGTCACACACTGGAAACGGAAGCTGAAAGCCTGAGGGACTCACCAAAGGGTGGGCAGGTCACGAGGTTCCCAAAACATGCTGTTCCGAGGTGAATAGCCCTAGGTCCAGGGTGGACTCAGGTCACTCCTATCCAGACTGTCCCAATGAGAGGACATCCAAGCTGCTGCATTTGCCAAAAACAGATGTCCAGGCTCGCTTCTACTGATGCCACCCTGAGGTTTGAGGCTTCCCCACATCCCTGGCCCTGCAGGGGAGGTGGAACCGGAGACAGCCTAGAACGGCCCCAACAGGGACTGGCAAAGGTGGCAGGGCCAGGCCAGGGCCTGGGCTTTGGGACGAAGGATGGAGAAGTGAGATCTTGTAGGCATTCCAGGAAGTCCATCCAAGAGAAAAGGAAAGGTGTGTGGGCACAGGTGAGCCCAAGGAACCAAAGTGGAGGGAAGGCTGGGGCTGCTCAAGCCTGCAGCTGGGGCCGAGGGTCCTCCCACCCAGGGCATGGAGATCCCTAAAGGCAGACCGAACGGGCTGGAGGGCCTCGTCTTCTCGCAGGGCAGGGACCGTGGGCGAGGAGCTGCTGCTTGCCATGTTGCCACGGTACCTGGAATCCACTTCTGATGGCAGCAGGGATGTGCAGAAGTGTCCCTGGGCCCTACGGCCACTGCCCGGGCCTGGGTGAGGATGAGCCAGGCAGTCCTTATAGACCAGGTACCGTCCCAGCCTGAGAGGGAACAGGGGCTGACAAATACCCAAATGCACACCTGGGGAAGGTCCCGTTCACAGAAGTTTACATGTGAGTGCTTAAAGGAGTCGTCACGTGGCTGGCCTAGTGGTCACCAGAGCCAGGTCCACACGGCTGACTGCAGTCCACATCCAGACGGGTACGTGAGCTTGCAGGAAGGCGAGCCTGGCTGGAGCCCCAAGTCTCAGCGGGGTGGAGAAATGGAGGAGAAGGGATCATGGTGTAACCACACTCGGGGGGGTGCTTTCTCTCTCTCTCTCTCTCTCTCTCTCTCTGGCAAGCACATGTGCCCTCTGGCCATTACATAATTGAAAGGAAGGGAGGGAAGAAAAAAAGAGAGAGAGAGAAAGGGAGGGAGGGAGGGAGAAAGAAGAAGAGAGAGGGAACGAAGGAGCCCATCTCTGGAGTCCAGTAGGACACTGACGCGGATTTAGCCCTGAACTCCTGACAAAGCCTGGCTGAGGTGAGGCTGGGCTGACACACAGGGCCCAGGGCTCTGCCTGTGCGGGAAGTTCCAGCCCCCCTCGGTGGGCCTGCCTCCGTGGGCCACCTCCCAGACAGCAGAGCAGCTAGAGGCCAGCTGCCTGGTGCAGGCCCCCAATGTCCAACTCAGCACCTGGGCATCCCTGCAGCAGCTGGCCGGCTCAGGCCTCTAACCCTCTTCTCTGGGGCACCTTGGTGGAGGTGTGTGCTTGGCCTGTGACATATAAACAAACCTGTTCTCACTCAAAGACCCTCCTGATAACCAGCTACTTACAGGCAATTTATAAAAATTTAAAATAAAATGGCTGAGTGGGACACCAAGCTGGCTAATGTCCACCTGGGCAGTAAAACCATAGGGTTGCGTGGGTGTCTCCCAGAGGGTCTGCCGGGGTACTCTCCGCGAAGGCGCCACCTGTCACAGAGGGCAAGCAGGAGCTCAGCCCCTGGGACTCCGTGATCCGGGCCGGCGTCAAGCCCGGCTTTAGGCTGGGTGGGAAGACAGGCGCGTCCTCTCGGCCCTTTTCACCCGTGGATAATTTCCTTCCAGGTGCGAACGAGGGGCTCGATCAAAAGACGCCCCCCCTCCAGGCGCTTCCGCAGGTCTCAGTCCGATTGTGGGGACCTGGGAGAGTTCAGGGCCCCGGAGGCGGAGCCGTCCCAGGAGAACGGAGCCAAGGAGGAGAACGGGGACGGGGACGAGGTGTTCCCAGCCAAGGGCAAGACCCCCGGGTCACCCCGGGCCGGCAAGGCGGCTGCAGGGGAGAGCGCGGGGAAGCCGCCGCTGCGGAGGGCGTCCAGCAGGACTGAGCGGGGGCCCGACCCGCAGGACCAGCAACGCCAGCGCCCGACCCTGGCCCCGGAGGCCTCAGAGCCGCCCCGGAGCCCCAGCCCAGGAGCAGAGAACGGGTGTGGGAGCCCCGAGGAGGACCACCCCGCTGGAGAGGAGGCGGGGACGGAGAAGCCCGCGGAGGTGCAGGGGGAGAGGCCTGGCGTTGAAGACGGTGCACCAGGACGGGAGGGCCCTGATGGGAAGGACCTGGAGGCGGGGTCCGCGAGGGAGCAGCCCCCGCAGTCACCCTCCGGAGGAGCCGAGGGCCTGGAACACAACAAGGAAGAGCAGGGGGAGGATGCCGCTCCCGCTCCCGAGCCCGGCCTGGCCTCGCTGGAGACCGCCAGAGAGGTGCAGCCGCGCCCGCAGGAAGAGGTAAGAAGCCCGGCTTGGCCACGGGGGCAGAGGTGAACGCGCGGTGCTGGGCCCCGTGTGCCCGTGTCACCACCTGTCCCTGGGTCCCACGATGCCCAGTGTGCAGAAACAAAGGCACCAGGTCCCGCATCCCCGGGCAGGGACGGGCTGTCCTGACGGACAAAAAAGGGAAGCGGAGCTCTGCTGTTCCCAGCTGCTGGCCGCCTCCTCCCGGGAGCTCCAGGGTGTGTGTGGAGTGACCAAGCCTTTCTGCACCCAGCGGAAGGGGACGTGCCTCCCTAAAACTTCAGTCTAGCCCACGGGAACTGCAGCTCTTTGGGGTGCACTGAGCGGGTGGAACATGGCCCTGGCGGGTACGCCCAGGAGAACAAGTTGTGAGGAGAGGGGTGAGATGAAGAGGATGTTCTAGAAAGTGGCATCGTGGGGCATCATTCCCGCACAGCGTCCTTTGTCTGGGTCCACATTTACTGGCCCCGCCTCCCACCTGCTCCCAGGAAGCCCAGGCCAGGAAGTCCAGGCCAGCTACCTACTGTGCTCCAGGCCGGGAGCCCTGTCCTGCCTACACCGTGCACTGACCCACCCACCCCAGCCCAGGCCACCGCCTCCCCCGGAGGAAGCTCTCCGGATCCGGATCCGGGCTCTGCAGTTGTCTACACTGAGTCCGTTCTCTGCAGCAGCTGCCCTGTGCCCAGTGGGTTCATTTGGATCCACTGCTCTGTGATGAAGTTCCTATTTTCAAATGCGGGGACTTCTCAGGCTCCAGGGTTAGGACTGGCCCGCCCCAGCCCTGCTCTACCATGCAACCCTCCTGGGTTCTTCATGTGCCCGGAGCTGGTCCCCTGAGAGCTCACTGTCCCCAGCCAGGAACCCTCCTGTCCTGATCTCTGGGCACTTCCTGCGGGCTCTCAGGTCTCAGCTATGGGGCCCCTCAATGGCCCCTCCATCTAGAAGAACTCCGGTTACACCCTCCCACTACCCCCCTGTGTCAACCTGGGACATATCATTGCTTGAACATAATTGTTTTGTTAATTTTTTTCCTATTATCTTTCCCCACTCATCCCCAGCACCTATGAGGGGTCTTCAAAAAGTTCATGAAAGGGACCAGCAGTTAGTGTAATGGCTATGTCGCTGGACTCCTATGTAGTCGACCGAGATTCGAGTCCCGGACCTGGTGGCTTAAACTCACACCAGGTGCATGTGCGTGTGTGCCCAAGATCCCGAGAGGAGAATGGAGGAGAAGGGATGGCAGCTTGGCTATCCCCCCTGGGGGGTGATTTCTTGCTTTCTGTCTCTCTGTCTCTCTCTCTTTCTGGTGAGCATATGCACCCCATAGCAAAAACCTCTCAAAAAAAAAAAAAGTTCATGAAAAAACCACGTATTATGAAGTAACGGTATGTAGCTTTTAAAATTCCCTGCACCAAGTCATGCTTCAGCTCCATTAACTCATACTTTCATTTCATTTTCCATGAACTTTTTTCAAGTTTCTTTATACTTAAGAACTTGGAACATAGATTCTTCAAATATTTGTGTTTTTTTGTTTGGTTGGTTTTGGAGAAGTTTTTGCTACAGGGCACGTGCACTCGCCAGAAAGACAGAGAGACAAAGTGAGAAGTCACCCCCTGGGGGGATGGTCACAGCCCAGTCCCTTCTCCTCTGTTCTCCTCTTGGGATCTTGGGCACACACACACATGTGCCTGGCGTGAATTTAAGCCACCGGGTCCAGGACTCAGACCATGGTCAACTACATGGGAGTCTAACAACATAGCCATTATGCTAACTGCTGGTCCAAAAATAATATTTGTTAAGTGAATGTCTGAATTTATTTATTTTTTTAAATTTTTGCCATCGGGCACATGTACTCACTGGAAAGTGTCAGGAAGAGAGAGGAAAAGCAAGACCCCCCCCTCAGGCATTGTCACACCACAGTCCCCTCTTCCCCCATCTCTCCTTCCTATTGGGACTTTGGGCACATACGCACACATGCCTGGCATGTTTCTCAAGGCAGTGGGTCTGGGACTTGAACTAAGCAGTCAACCATTTGGGATCCAATTGCCTTAACCACCAGGCCATGGGGCTGGTCCGTGAATTTAAAGAGCAGATGTTGCTTCACCCAAAAGAAATGCTTGCTAATGTAGAAGTGCAAGTATGAGAGCTTGACGTGTCTGTGGGGGCTTCCTGGGGCCCTCGCATTGTCCTCACTCAAACTACTGGGTTGTCAGAAAGGCCACGCTGCGTTTTCGCATAGGAAAACAGAAAAAGATGTCACGACTTTCCTGACGGCCCAGTAGATGAGGGAGAACAAAGGTGAGTTGCGAAGCTTCGCGAGATACGATGGACCCTCTGGTTGGGCGGTGAGGCAAAGGTGCTTCTGATTCCTTTAACGCCTTCCTTTCTAAATGAGCGACGCTTAGAATCCTCTGGAGCCCAAGGACTCTGCCAAGTCCCTGGAAGGCAAATGCACGCCTCCAACCCTCAGTCCTCTCGCGGTTGCAGGCGCTGGGTCCAAGCAGCCTCCTGCTCATGGCTCCCACGTCCCCTTTCCTGGCCAGGAGGCGCCTGCCTCACCACGAGGCCCTCCCGTCTCACCTCCTGCATGGTCGGGTTCTGAAGGGCAAGTTAGCTGGGAAGGGGGTTGCTTCAGGTCCCCGGTGGGACAGGGCTCCCGCAGACACTCTGAGGCCCTGGGCAGGCTCACTGGTCATCTCGGAAGCCTGCACGCCCATGTTCCTGACGGCCTGGGAGGGAAGGGTGGCCGGCACCCGGGGCAGCCCCGCAGTCCTTCTCCATCCCCGACCCTGAGATGCAGACTGGACGCCATTGGAGCCCAGTGCTCTGGTTCCAAGAGGAAGACACTGAGGCTCCAGAAGGGCCAGGAGCTGTCCAAGGTCACAGAGCTCGGGCGATGCTGACATCCCGGGCACGAGTTCTAGTCATCATAATATCACGCTTACCAATCACCTCTGCACAGGCCAACCACGGCCTGCGGGCAAGGGAGCCCCCGCCCATCTGGCTGACTGGGATTTGAACCCAGCCCCAGTGGCTTAAAAACCACATGCAGGCATGCCCCCATACTAACAGGGTGGGGAAATGAAGGGATACAGGGCGGCCACACCCCATCGTGGGTGCTTCTCCTCCCGCTGTCTCTCAGCTGAGCGTGTGTGCCCTCTGACAAAAACGAAACCTCGGCTTGCTTTCGCGAATCTGGAAGGGGCACTGCCTCCGGCTCTCTTTGGTCCTCAAGCCTGGTCAAGGTCTGATCAGAATGCCTCAGGGCCAAAGGTCCGCCAGGGAGAAGCAGTGTGACAGGCCTGCTCACGGGCTTCCCAGTGGCGATGCCGGCCCAGGGCCCTCCGTCTGGTAGAGGCAGTGCCAGACAGACAGCAGTTTCCACGCCGACCTATCCCCATCTTGTTCCTTGGTCGGTAGAAATTTTTGAATCAGATAAATTAATTTTAGTTGCATTCATTTCATCAACATTTAGCAAGTACCAGGTATCTCCAGGGCTGCAGAGATGAAAAAGACAGAGCCATTAGGCCAGCAGGTGGCGTGGTGGTTAAGGTTAAGTCCCACATAACCGACTCCGTGGTTCGAGTCCTGGACCCAGTGGCTTGAATAATCATGCTGGGCGTGTGTGTGTGTGAGTGCCAAAAATCCCGAGAGAATGGAGGAGAAGGGGTTGTGGCATGCCTGTCCTCTCCAGGTTGGGGGGTGATTTCTCACTTTCCCACTCTGTCGTTCCCTCTCTGTCTCTGGAGAATGCACCTTATAACAAACTTAAAAAGAGAAAGAGAGACAGAGGCATGAAAAGTAATGACGAGACAGTGGAATAAAAGGATTCCGCCCCAAACCTTGAATGGGAAGCCCTTAAAATACAGCCATGCATTCTTCAAGAGGAAGCAGGAGGCGTGTCCCTCACTGCCAGGGCGCCAGGCGAGTGAGCGTCCTGTGGGGGACCTGCTGCTCACCGCCCCTCTGGTACTCATGTGTTGTGCAAAAGAGTGCGCTGTCCTGGGCCCCTGGTCCTGGGCAGGCTGGGCACATCTGGTCGGCACGCGGGATTCCACGTAGGAGAAAGAGGACAGCGAGTGAGATCCAGCCCCGGGACTTACATCGACGCGGCACCGTGTCTCCAGCACACACGTGCACCCAGTGATGGGCACCAGCCTGCCGGACATACTCACACCGGCGTTCGGGAGGGTCCGGTCACACCCAGCCTGCAGTGCGTAGGCGCTCTGGGCCTCCAGCTCCTCCGCTCTCCTGCCCCACTCCTGGCACCCGAGGCTCTGCCCTGGGCTGACCCGGCTGTCTCTCGGTGCTCACTACCTTCGTTACTGCCTCCTGGGCTTTCCCATTTTTCTGCCCCTCCAGTGACCTGGGCGGGAGCTGAGTCTCGGTGCAGGCCTTTTGCCCCTCCGTCCTCTCGGGGCCCCACATTCCCACCCAGCCCTCCCCAGATCCTGACGTGCCCTTCTCTGAGATCTCTCCCCTTCTCAGCATGGCCACGACCTGTGGCAGCCTTTCTTCCTCATCTGGACAATCACGATTCACTCCAGTTCACTCCAGACACATGGTCCATACTCGCACCAAATTCCCTGTCCTGGAGAGGCCACCTCAGCGTCTGCTCTCCTACCCGAGCCCTCACCCTGCACAGCGGCCGGGTTGCCCTCCCTGTGCTCAGCTCTGCCAGAGGCCTGGGCTGTGCTGCGCCTTCTCCTGCTGCCCTGTGCCCGGCCCATGACTGCCACCCAATAGGCAGTGCGTCCTCCCGCCCACCCTTCTGCCCCTTCCAGAGTGCTGGCACCATCCATGGAAATTGCTCATGGCCGGTTTGGGCCAGGCCCCTACCACTACCTGGAAATCCTCTCCCCCAGAATCACCTCTCTAATCTCTGTCCCCTCCACAGGCCTTTCCTAATGGCCTGGGACATGCCCCAGCCCCTCGTGCACCTGTGTGCTGTCAGTACAGCCCTCCACGGTGATCCACGTCACCCCCACCTGGACCTGGGACAGCGGAAACATCCATTTCTCAGCTGGAGGATGGGGTCAGGAGGCCCAGGCCCACACAGCTCCCGGCGTGGGGGAGCTGAGTAATACCCTGTAGATGCATGCTGGGTCAGCAGCTCCTTTGCTGTCCTTTCCTGCAAAGACCTTCTATTTTTAACGCTTTCTGTTCTTTTTTTCCACTTTTGTGCTGCCCAAGAATCTTTTTTTTTCCCCTTTGGAGAAGTTTTTGCCATAGGGCGTGTGCGCTCGCCAGACAGAGACAGAGAGACAGCGAGAAACCACCCCTCGGGGGGGATATGGTCACACCACAATCCCTTCTCCTCCATTCTCCTCTCAGATCTTGGGCATGCACGCTCACGCGCCCGGCATGAGTTTTAAGCCACCGGGTCCGGGACACGAACCGCGGTCGACTACGTGGGAGTCCAGCGACATAGCCATTACGCTAACTGCTGGTTCCCAGTCTGCCATTGTTTTTATTGTGACCCCAGCCATACGTGTTGAGCATCAGGATTCTCCCACCCTTTCTTCTGCTCCCAGGTCGACACTCCTGACCAGGACACTAAAATGTGAAAGTGCACCCAGCCCTAGTCATGACGCTGCTGGGGACACCTGTTGGGGGGAGCAGCGACAGGCACCATGGATGAAGCCGTGGCCGAAGCAGGACACCCCGAGGGCTGGCGGCGGGCGCGACTGGGGGGGGGGGCGGCCCGGCCGCCCCCC